TCAGGTTTGCGTTTCCCTCTGGCTACTAGCTGCTCATTCCTGCTATCAGCTGTTTCCTGTTTATCCACCGCCAGTGGGTCGCACGTGCGGCATCATCAACAGCCCCTCCCATGGTGGAAGGGCACCTCGTTCTTTTTAGACCAAAAAGATTCCGCCAATATGACTACCCTACGAGGCGGAAAATTGGGCACCTTGGATCAACTCGCCAATCAGGCTCTGTGTGTCTAAATGCTCGCAGCTTGCCAGCAAAATGGCCCAACATTCGCGGAAAATCTGGCAGTGTAAAAGAGGCTAAAGTGACCAGCTGACGCCAATTTAAAATCTGTTGTCACTCACTGCTCCATCCAGCACTCACTGCATTTCTTCATTACTGGTGACACTGATGGAAGTCTGCACCTTGTTTAGTGTCCACACAACGAGGCTGCATGCCGACATTTTCAGAACAAAATAGAACAGGCTGCAGTGAGAGTCTCTCTCTCCATGGGATATTTAAAAAAAAAAGCAGGTTTGTGCGTTTATTCCTTGTCAAGCAAGCTCAGGGGTAAAGTGTTGCGATAGCCTGACGCTATGCAACCCATTTCTGTGATCAAACACACCCATTACACACACCTCTGTGTTTGTTTCTGTCTAGTTTGGTGTGACACTGCTGTATCTGATCCTGAGTGAAGGAGAGAGGATGCAAAGCACCGATCCCAACTGTCAACTCATGGATGACAATCGATGGTAAGCACTTTGTGTGTTAGTGATGTCAGCTACTTTGTGGTTTTGTTTAATGACGCATCCTGAAATGGCTTTGTTCCCTGCGACAGAACTAAATTAGTTTTCATTCCCTGTTATCTTCTTCTCTTCATGCTTTCACCTGCGCCGTTAATCCACACTCACCTCTGTTCTGTTTCCCTCCAGGACTGAGTTGGTGTTTTCAGTAACGAGGGAGTTGCTCAGCGTCCCCACCTCATCCCTGTCTCCTCCCCTCTTCACCCCTCCTAACCTGCTCTCCCTCTTCTCACGCTAAGTCGATCGGCAGAGGCTGGAGCTGTTACAGGACAAGCTACAGTGAGTCAATATCAACTCACCAAAAGTGGTTGGACAAGCTAGCGTAAAGAAAACAAGCAGGTTGTACTGAAAACGGCGTTAAGTGTTTTAAATAATTTTGATAAAGTGTTCCATAAAGATGTCAGAGTAAAGATGAATCAGGACCTCCAATAAACGTGTTCTTTTCTTGTTGCAGTAACATTTGGTGATTAAGTGTAACTAATAGTTTTCTCTTTGCCTTTCTCAGGATCTCTGCTTTGTCCAGGTAGAAGTTACAACACACAACGACCCCCCTCCCGCCCCACCGGATGCAGACCTTTCTTTTTGTGCGTGTATCAGAAGAGTCAAGTGTGTGTGTAAGTGTGTGAGTGAGTGTGCGTGCGCATGTGCTCTTGAGGTGAATCCATGGTGGATTGAATTTTAATACAGCAGAATCTGTAGTCACTTTTGTTTTTCTTTGTTTAGTCTCTGATGTGTGTTTGTCTGTGAGTGAACGACAGTGACACAGCGCATGAGAGGTGGACCGAGTGAATGATGACAATTATGAAATCTGCATTTTTAAATATCTTGTTTACGATTATGCCTGTGATGAACCTTCAAATTAAAAAGTATTTCTATTTCTAATGTTTCAGTCCAGTCTTCCACTGCTATAACCAAACATTGTGTTTAACAATAAGTCCTCCGTCTTCGACACTGACAGACTCACGATGGACAGTTTACTAAAAAGGATCAAAATCAATGAAGCCGAACCAGCAGTGCTGGCAGAGTTACTAATGTATTTCACTACAGATTACTGCACACATGCACTGAATTGTACTTCGTAATGTATTTTATTAGATTACTAAACCAAGTAACAGATTCTAAATGCTTTGGATTACTTTTTGAATACTTCAAAAATGTCTTGCTGAGCTTATTTGTCTAAGTCTTATATTGCCATGCCAGAAACACACAACAGTGTCATGTAGCAGGTGTACTCCACATGCTTTTTAAAAAATCTGTTAACATAAAATGCCTCATATGAATTGTATACTGTGCCCTAACAGCATGCAAGTGAGCATCACTCTCTGTCCACATTGACTCCATTAAAAATGGGCAGTGGCCCCCAGCAGGTTAATGCACCATGCCACACTGCAAACGTCACTCAGAAATGGCCCAAGAAATGTGACAAAGACCTCAGAGTGTCAACCTGGCCTCCAAACTCCCCAGATCACAATCTGAATGAGCATCTGTGGCACGTGCCATTAACCCACCTCACAACCCACTGGACTAAAAGGATCTGCCGCCAACGCACTGGTGCCAGACACAGCAGGACAGTCCCAGAGATCCTGTGTCCATGCCTCGGCAGGTCAGAGCTAAGTCCAATCCGAGGAGGCCCCACCTTGGGTTAGGGGGTCATCTGGGGAACCAGCACATCACAAGAATCGTTGAGCAGATTGGGATCTGGGAACATGAATGCCAGAACCAAAGATCGAAGTTATTCACTTCACCTTTAATGTTTTGGTTGATTGGTGTATATATTCATACTAGTCCATACCCATTGAGTACAGCATACCATACCATGACTTAGTCATACCAAAAATTAGGGAAAAAAAACAACATTCGGCTACAGGAGAAGCCACAGCGATCTGTCTCATTTTAGCCATTTTTAAGCATTTTTCTGTTGTTATGGTGCCACCAAGTTGCCAATTAGAGTTAAATTTCTTCAGTCACCTTGACGCGTCCTGTTCTACATATCTACCAAGTTTAGTAAAAATCCATATGGCGATTAGGCCTAGTGAAGAATTTAGCTCTCTAGCGCCCCCATTTTGTTTGATGGGGTCAATAATGGAGGGGTCCCCTCAGATTATGTGTGGTCATATGCCTACAAAGTTGCGTGGTGATCGGTGAAACCCTTGAGATGTTATACACCTTTATGTGATGAGCCACGCCCTCCACAATATTCATTGCCTTATAGAAGCTCAGTTTTAGTAAGTTTTTTGCCAAGAGGGAACTTAAGATATTGGTCCCTAGATTATGTTCACCCAGTTTCATGCAGATCGGTCAAACTTCCTAGGAAAAGATCGATTTTAAGTGTTTTTCAAAAAATTCAAAATGGCGGAAAATCTATATAACCGGAAGTTATGGGTTCTTGAGGCAAATTTGTAACTCATGAGGAGAGGCATCTCTGTGCAAAGTTTAATGTCTCTAAAACATACGGGGCATGAGATATGCCCATTCAAAGTTTGCAGTTTCAATTGATTGCTATAGCACCCCCCTTTGGCCAATTGATGTAATATTGCTTCATTTGCATCCTCCCATGACCCTCTACCACTGTGCCAAATTTCACATGGATTGACCAAGTCAGTGAGGAGAAAAACGTGGAGCAGACACAGAGTTTTTGTCATTATATGTAAGATACATACCCTGGAAATCCAGAGTTCTCGCGAGAGCACAATTTGAATTTGCTTAGCAAGTCACTCTGGCAATCAGTAATGATGCTCATTACCCATGCCGTTGGAGCCGAGCTGCACCAATCACATCGATGTATCTGATATAGGCGGGCCAGAGGCGAGCTAAACAGATGACGACAGCGCTGCGACGACGAAGTCCAGAATTTGCCAGTAAACATTGCAAGATGACTACGGATGAACACCAGTTGTTTGAAACGGCTTTGGCCGCTACAATGAACAAGTTAGACTTGGCTTTTTCTCTAAAAGAGGAACAGAAGACGGCGCTCGAATCTTTCCTTTGCAAGAAGGACGTTTTTGATGTTTTGCTGACCAGATACGGCAAGAGTCTAATCTACCAGTTAGCTCCGCTGGTAGCTAAGCTCTAAGTATTGTTCTGATTGGTCGTAGTGTTACCCAATTGCTTGCAGTGATATTTTCAAATGCATGCTTGGTGCCGCCCCTCGAGTTGGGCCATTTGCATTACTCATAGCCAGACCCTAAATCTTTCTAGATTTGGGTCTGGATTTCCAGGCTATAAGATACATACACTGCTCAACAAAATTTCGGGAACACTTAAATCACACATCGGCTCTTGATGAACAAATTATTCATGTTGAAAATCTTGACTCATGTACATTGTATAACATGTTGAGAACAAAATGACGAAACAACAGAAAGTGGAAACCACAATCATCAACCCACTGAGGGCTGTATTCAAAATCACATTGAAAATCAAAGTGAAAAAATGAAATCGTAAGCTGATTAAACTTGCATGAAATTTACAATAGCGACTCACAATGTCACTCAGTAGCGTGTATGGCCCCCTGTGTACCTGTTTGCACTCCTGAAAATGTCTGGACATGCTCCTGATGAGTTGGTGGATGGTGTCCTGGGGGATCTCCTCCCAGACCTGGATTAGGGCATCAGTGAGCTCCTGGACAGTCTGTGGCGGTACTTGGCGGCGTTGGATGCACCAATACATAACATCCCAATGGTGCTCAATTGGATTTAGGTCAGAGGAACAAGAGGGCCAGTCAATGGCATTGAGGAGCTGGACTGCCTGTGCAACCTGATTGGCCTGCAGGTACGGCCTCATGCTACCAGTAGTGCCAAGGACACTAGCAGAAGACCAAACTAGAGAAGAATCAGTCAGGAAGGATAAGGAGAGAGCAACTGTCTGTGGACACCATATATTCCCTGGACTTTTGCCTCTCCATTGCACCTGTTGTCACATAAATTTGCACCAAAGCAGGTAAAACTGATTCATAATCACTTGTGCTTTCTACGTGGACAGATTGATATCCCTCAAGTGTTGCCCTCATTTTTTTAGCAGTGTATATAATTCCAGTTTCTCATAATGTAAGAGCTACAAACAGACGTCCTTGGCCAAAATTGACATGAAAAGCACATGTGGTTAATGACATAACTGTCCAGAGCTTGCTCAGTTTTTGTGTTTAGAAGTTTTGGTGACCGTTTAACTAGATTAGCCATCAAAGTGTGCCGCAGCTGCCACTACTCCTTCAATAAACAACAGTCAGCTCATTGATATGTTTTTATTTAGAGGCATCAGTTGAAAATACTTTTTATAAATGACTGCATCACAGAGAGACACGACTGCTGTAAAGAAACTACGAAGAGCTGTTTTTAAGTCAATGTTACAATTTTGGATTTGTTGCAGTGAAAGTAGCTCAGACCACAAGCAGTCGCTCACCAAGTACAGTTAGAGCTGTCAGATCAGTGTATAAGCTTTTGATATTCAACACAGATTTCTACATCAGCCAGCTCTAAGGAAGTCAAAGGTCTGTTCCATGCAATAATCAATCAATCTTGATTACCCTAACCTGTGCAGACCACCTCAACAGCAGAGGAGGAAAACCACGGATTAACAGTTCCACAATTCATCAGTGCAGACTCAGATCCATCACAGTCAGAGAAGAATCTCGCCACAGCTGTGTTTTTGTGAAGATCAATCTCTCTGGTTGAAACAACAGAACCACAGCCCAGCTGTCTACACACCACAGAGGCATGCTTCAGGTCCCAGACTGTGGACTCTGTGCTCAGCGGTCTCATCTCATAGCCCAGGCTCGCCAACAGTTTGCCGGCACAGATTTTCATGTCGACATCTCTGAGCACTCCATCATCCAGCATGACATCGTAACGCTCTAGCCAGGGATTAACAAGAAAGCCAAGGTACGTTAATAAAAGTAGGACGACAGATCTAAGCATTTATTATTATATTGCGGTATCTGTGTGATCTATGCAGAAATGCAATCCTGCTGTCCTACCTTCGACAACGACTGATAGGCTCTGGCTCTCAGAGGAGAAGTTATGATTGAAAACAAAGTTGTGATAAACACAGCTCCAATTCCCTTGGTGAGCCTCTTCTGCAGCATGGATCATGAAGTAGGCAGAGTTATTGGCAGCAGGCTGGGTGTAGCTGTGGGTTTGGTTGGAGCCAGTGAAGATGAGGCTGAAGTGACCTCTGGGGTATTGTGGCTCCACGGAGCAGATGACAGTGAAGCTGTGGCCCTTGTACAGCACCACACCCTGCGTCTGGTTGTCAGGGGGCCCAATCGACATAGTGTTAATGTCAATTTTCGGCCGAGGCAGGATGTCTGCAGGCAAAGACAAAAACTGGAGATGTGACACAAAGCTTATGCAAATACAACTTTATAAACGTAGAAGTGCACAAGCTTCTGTGACTTCTGTGTCTGACTCTCAAGTTTGTTTTACAGTCAGCGAGAAGAAAAAAGGTTGTAATAAATTATTCCCTCCAGCCCACTTGATGATGATAATGCTCCTTTACGTGGGTGTCGCTAACCGGCAGGAAACCATTGCAATGTAATGGGACACAGAGAAGAAGCAGAAGAAGGTTGGCGTTATGTTCAAAGGCATCATACTGCGAAGGATGTTTACAAGCGAGTAATCCATTGTGCAGTTACTTAAACTTATTACAAATCTTTTTCATTCCTTCTCGTTCTTCCTCCAGGAGCACACACAGCACTGTCGAGCCGGCACTTTCGCTGAGTGTCCCCCGACTATCAGAAGGCGGAGTGTCCCCCGACTATCAGAAGGCGGAGATCTCTGATTGTCTGGTGGTGAGACTAGTGTGTTTTTGTATGCAAGCGGGTCTGCTGCGGTCTGCTGACAGTCCAAAATGGCGGCGGTAGGACGAAACCATGGGCGAGTCTGTTGCTATGGGGCGTTCCATGCTCTTTGGCCTGATTGTAGAATCCAGCAAAGGAAGTTGCAATTACAGCATCGACAACGACTGCCTGCTGCAAAGCAACTCAACAAAGGAAGACGAACTTAACAAAAAGAGAGTCTGACAATAAACAAAATAGGTTTCAGGTGGAAAGAAAATGTTGCTAATTGTTTAGCCTTCTGCTAACCGGAGCCAAAGGCTCACAGCTGCAGCTTCAAGTTCACGTCTATGTAGCTCAAGTTAGCTAGAGCCTTGAATCACAATGTGTCCTCGGCTTCACTCCCTACCACAAAAGACCACCTGACTGGGAGAAGAGTGAGCAGCAGCTCTGGAGACAGACCTCCAGTCGGCAGCCACAGCAACATGAATCCAGCCAGCGCAAACCCTAGCTCAAGGGGGGCCAGACAACCCTGACTCCCTGCTGGATCAGCTAACAGGTTAGACACAGTGCTGTCGCTGGCCACCAGCCTGCTGTGACACCTGGCACTAGGGGGTTGGCGCTGAATATCTTGGGGTTGTGGACAAAACAAGACATTTGACATTCGACATTCAACAGTAAAAATATTTGTTGGTTGCAGCTTAAATTATGAGGCAGGTTTTCTTGTGCTCAAATCATCATCAGCTAAATGTAAAAATAGCACTGTTACTATTCTTACCTGAGCAGATAACCTCAACAGTGGCAGAGGAAAGCCACTGTCTCACTGTCCCGCAGTCCATCAGTGCTTGCTCAGAGCCGTCACAGTCAGAGTAAAAGCGCCACGCTGGCAGGGGTTGTGTTAATTTGTCTACTTTCCTGGTTGAAACAGTGGAGCCGCAGTTGAGCTGTCTGCACACCACAGCTGCCTCCTTCAGACTCCAGGAGTGCTGGAAGGTCAATGGTCTCCACTCTGTCTGATGCTGCACCTCCAGTCTACCAGCACAGCGGGTTCTTGTGTTCACCAACCTCACATCATTGGGCTCTGCAATTACATGATCAACAAGTTATATACAATCCATCCAACACCCATGAGAAGTCAAAAGTACAGGATATTAGTGTTGACCATATATTACATATACAGCATATAACTTCATTAGTCAAGGGATGTCTCAAAATGTCCCAATTAAAGATCTGTCTTGAGCTGCTGTTCAAATATGCTCTGATGGAATCCCAGATCTTTACATAGGCCACGTTCACATTACAAGCAAATGTGTCCCAAATCCGTTTTTTGCTCTTCTGTGACACAGATCAGATTTTTCTCAGAATAGTTTGGACATAGAAATCTGATGTTTTTACAATAAGATCTGGGCCACTTTCATATGTGGTCCTAAATCTGATATATAGCCAGATCAAACCACCGTCATGTTGGTGTCTTTGTCTTGTGCTGGTGGTGGGCGCAGTTTGTATGGACATGTCGAGTACGCTTCAAATAGCATGTGGATGCAGCTATATATGTCTTAGCCATACCGCTGCTGTGACAGGCTGCTCCAGTGGCCAGCCAACAGAGCCCGACCACTTGCTCGTGGAGGCAGCTTGCCTACATGCCGTGACAGCGTTTTCATCAGTGTTGCTGCCCTGACTGTGTCACTATTTTTCCTGTGTTTCTCTTCATCCGCTGTTCCCCGCTCCTTGTCTGTCTCTCTAGCCGTGAGCCAGCTCATTTGCCTGTAATCATCTAAATTGTTTTTTTTTCTTGGAAAATACTCTACACACTTTCCCAAACAGAACCACATGGCCAATTATAGTGCAGAATGACATCATCAGACCTTATGGCGATCATTCTTGCACAACGACTTCATCACATCCCGGCGTGTACAGCATGAAGAAGCCATGCCGTTTTTCCCTAAATATCTGTTTCACAAATGTTGTTCCAAGGTGCATGTCTGTGATAGTATTGGTTGCATTTCAGGGCAGAGATCCATTCACGTTGATGTCAGTTGATGAGTCACTTCAAACATAAATGTAAACAGTCGAGGCAGACAGACTGGATCTAGGGAAGTAATCGGAATTTAGGATCAAGCCTTGTCATGTGAACGTAGTCATAGTTTGGCTTAGCACTGGTCTCAGTGCTGACTGCACATAATAGTGAGATATCATCTTGATAGCTGGAGAACAACATGTTACCAACATTCAGTTGAGCTATAGACAGGATGTTAAAAGCTATAACTTGGAAATGAACTGCATGCTTTGTCTGTTGGATTGATAAACTCAGGTTTACCTTCTACAGTGAGAGTGATGGTCTTTGACGTGGAGTAAATTTCAGAACTGACGTTCAAGTTGTAATCACATTTAACAACCAATTGGTCGGCATCCTCTGCAGCAGGAAAGGTGAAGATGGCTTCCCCTGTGTCAGGTGACTGGGTCTGCTCAGTGTGGTTGTCACTGTTAACACCAAATCTTAGCCTGTAGGAGGCTATATCATATTTTGAAAATTTAGAGCAAGTGATGGCAAAGCGTTGGCCCTTGAAAATCCTTGTGGGATTGTCAGAAGCATGTCCTTGCGAGGTATACAAGCTGATAGAAGGTTCACGTGGGCGATCTGTAAAGAAAAAAGAGAGTTAAACGTTTACTCATTTTCTATGTCATATGCATGAAAAATGGATCCATACGTGTTACGTATGGTAGAGATATTGCAAATAAAACTTTTTTTATCCAGTGTGTAGGATTTAGGGAGATATATTGGAAGAATTGTAATATAGCATTCATAAGTATAAGAATTGTTGTGTTTTCATAACCTTAAGGTGCAGACACACCAAACTGACATCAAAGAACTAGCGGTGACGAAAGGCAACTATTGCATCATCTACGTCGCCTCACGTCGCCCTGTGTCAGATGCATTTGAACACACTACAAAGACTACATCCAACAGCCAAGTAGCACATATGTTCTGCACCTGTGTGAGAGGAAATAACGTAAAAAGGGAAACCGGAAGTCCGAGGAATGCACGAGAGAAACAAAGTAGAGGAGTGAGTGAGTGGTACATCCAGTCAGCCAAGGGGTTTCCTATCTGTGCAGCCGAGCACCGCAGCACCTCCATGGACTATTACATTCAGACGGTCCCGGTGTTTCCTCCGCAGGCTCCACTTCACTCAGCTGCCCGACAAACCCGCTGCTTCTTCCCACTTTAACCTGAAAAACAAACAGGCAGAGGCTGTCCTGGCTAGTTTTACGCCCTGGGAAAACCATCCCTCGGCGCCCCCCCCTTTTTTTCTTGTTTTGTGTCTCTTTGTGATTGTTTTGCATCTTTTTGTGTTTATTTTGCATCTCGTTGAAGTTCCTTTGTATCTCTTTGTAGTCTTTTTCTTATTTTTGGTGGTAATTTTGACTGATCAGTACGTGTCGATTTCAGTGACATTTTGCAGGTGAAGGCCAAAGGGGACCCTGACACTGTGGGCCCCTGTTCCTCTGCCCAGTAGGCCCATTCAGTAATCCATATGCCACTAAATTCTACACACTAGTCCTTTAAGAATTAACTTGCAAACCTACAATAATTTTTAAAAATTTTCTACAGTTGTAAATCTAGGCAATTTGTGACATAATGTTGCAAGGGCATGTGAATATACAGCATAAAATAACACACCCAAAGATCTTTTATTCCTGTAACAAGCAAATTAGTATCTAACTTGAAGACAAAACCTTGCGCCTATCGCAACAAAAATAGCTAAACTCAGGCCCTGTCTACATGTATAAAAATATTTTTTCAAAGCAGATATTTTCCTCAGTTAAAAAAAAAATCTGTCAACACAATCTTCAGTTCACAAAATATCTCTGTCCAACTCATTCTCACTCCAACCTGGTCACATATCAACGTTTGGTCACGGACTTTGCACATCCAGATACGATGTGACCCAGGTTTGTTGGATGTTGGTTCTGGGACGCCATGTCAAGTTCTGCCTATTACATGCATTGTCTTTTTTCAAAATACACTTCAAACTACCGTTTACATCCAGTCTCTCACTGTCTCAGTACAACAACACAACAAAAGCGCATGGTTGGGTTTAGGAAAAAAGAATGTTTAGCTTTAGAATCTTACGCGACACAAACACCGCTCTCCTGGGTGAAAGTCGAGTCTGGTGGACCCATCCACCACCCCTCCCTCCCACCCTACCCCAACTTTCATTGCTGTCCTGCCATGTTTCCCCTAATGCCGCTGAGCACTGTTAAACTATAACAGCAATTGGCCGCGTATCATGTCAACATTAAAGGACTTTCATGCGGTGAAAAAAGTTTCCGCCCAGACTTTGACCCTAGCGGAAATGGCCAGCGGAACTACACAGCTGGACCAATGAAATTGTTTGTTTATAGTATAGTTTCACAGCACCCCGTCCTTTTTGATAAAGACGGGATTTAATGAACAATGAATTAAAGGACAATGTCAGGCATTCCACTGTCCAGCTTGGTGGCTGTGGTGAGAGTGGTAAGCGCTAAAGAAAGTTGATGTTGACACTTGTTAATCGTTAGCTTGCTAGCTAGCTAGCTAGTGCAACTCCTGGATAAGCCTGTAAAACTCCCCATGTTATGACCGACCTTGGAGGATCGGATGGACCCAAAATTTTTTTTTCTTTTTGTTCAGGCAATAAATAACAATAATGTCATCGTCGCTGCTGCTGCTGCTGCTGCTGCTGCTACTCTCGTCCATATTCACCCACATCTGTTCACACTGCGCGGACTTGGAATACAACAACGCGAAATTCCGCACTTCATCCGTAGCACGCCTGTGTGTATGGTTTAAACGCGGAAAAGCGCTGCGCGAATATTCCGCAAATCTGTCCCGCATTTCCGCATCGCGGCAGTGAGAATGAACTTTAACGCTAACTTTTTCAAAACACCTACTGGTGATCTCATCACCGTTGTTTCCCGTTTGATATGAGGAAGAAGGTGCTCACTTGCTCTTAACAAGCAAAAGTTTTCCCTCCCATCCTCATCAATAATATTCCCCCTCTCGAAAGTATACCACCATCTTCTCGCCTGATCCAAAACCATTGTTTCTGGCTAATGGACAACCTCAGATGCTGAGATGGGCCAAACAGTGGGCACAGAAGATGCCTCTGTTAGACCATGAAGTGGTGCAGCAATAGAGAGTTAGAAAGAAAAGTCATCATTACATGAAAGAGTGCTGACAGAATGTAAACCAATCGGTAGTCCGCCATTGTTGTTGTTTCTAGTGTGTGGTCATTAGACAAAAGCAGCAATGTCATTATTTTCTTAACCCTCCATTTAACATTTTCACATGGAAACAGAGTGACAGTTTTGAAAAATCTGCACATTAGAAGGCGTTTTACAAAAACTCTGTTTACATGTGGACGAGAGGCCAAAATGTAGAGGAGAATATCCACGTTCAATTTGTACAATATTTGTATACATGTAGACAGGGCCAAAAATAACCCGTGATTATTGGTTATTACCTATACAGGCCAGGTAAGTATTTAGACAACCGCTCAGTTCCTCTTCTGTGGTGGGACAATCCACAAGACGCTTCTCGTTGCCTTCACACTTAAAGACCGGATGCCAGATGGGTCCTGTATTTTTAAAATAGTTGTCATTCCACCTCCCATGGTAATCATCAGGAAGCCCACAGTGAAGATCTCGACAGGCAACCAGTGCATCCCGGGAGCTGAAGTAATCCGAACACACTCGAGCCCACGACTGACCAGACTTCACCTCAAGCTTTCCTGAGCATCTGCTGGAATCTTTTGCAATCCTCACACCGTCTGGAGAGACAGAAACAGACAGAAAGAGAACTTTGAGAGTACCTTAAAATCAATTCATTATGTATATAATTAAGCCTTTAAAGCTTGGGTAGGCAGTTTAAATGTGTCTTCCTTTGAGCATATTGTAATTCAGTTGGTCTGTGAGAAGACTTCTGCACCTCCTCTTGGCTCTGTCTTCAGGCTTTGGAAAAATCTATGCGGTGACGGGAGACTTTGGTTAATCACAGGTCATAACCCAGAATTTCAGGATAAATCCAGGAAGTAAACAAAACGTTGAAGAAGAGTACACTTTCAAGACACTTTCTAATGTCACAATGGAGGGACAGCTACGCAGGTTGATTTTAGTGCTGGTCATTGTGGACTATATTGCTGTCGTTCATTTTAGTCAAACCATACAGTTTGAAAATGAGGCGTGGCTCCAACTAGAAAACAATGTTTTGATGCATTGGATGTGCTGAATGTGCATATTAAGGCAGTACAGGAGGAGGTGCACATTAATAATCAGTTGGTTCAGATCGAGGTCGGAACACGTTGTTTAACATAATTAAAGTTTGTTTGGAGAGAGAGTCTTAGAATAAAGCAGCAACTAAAATGACCCTATTCTGGATTATACAGAGGCAACATATAACTCATCATACTAAAGCTGTGATTCTGAACATTATGGAAGACTCAGCTATCAACAAGTTTAAGGACACATGCAAATATCATAACGCTGACCTTTGTAAGAGGGTGGTTGAAGGAATACAAGAGGCGGTGTGTTTGCACACTGGTGGAGAACTTTGAAAATAATCCTATTTTGATGCAAAGAAGTAAAATAACAAGTGAATCCAGCCATTCCACTTTTCCATGTACTGACATAATAAATGACAATTTAGGGCACATTAATCAGCGTATGCATGGCTTAATGTAAACAGGGATATTAGTGGAATATTCATTTTCATTACCATGTAAACTGCTTGGTAGGGATATTAGGCCTCATTCACAAACAGTATGTGCACACAAATCTGTGCTTAAACCAAGCGTTTTAGTAGAAATCCAGGATTCATCAATGTGTTTTTACTTTTTTTCACACCCTTTGGACAAATTTAGACCTATATAGGCTGTTGCTGCTCCCTTTCACTCTTGGTCCGCTCTTCAGTTTCAATGAGCTCTGCATCAGTGTACGTCCGTGTATTCCGTGTTCAAATAAATATGGGCGGTCATCAAATACAAATGGCTCATCCAGATCCAGTTGGTCAAAATCAGGTAAAAATTCAGCCATGACTACTCCAAACAGAGTAACTCCTCGCGTTTGTAAGCTCGCTCCAGCGGTAACTTCCTGCAACAACTCAAATCTAGCGAGACGTGAGATTTCAGAGCCAGACTTTCACTCTCTGAGTGAGTGTTTTGACTTGCCACAACAAACGTCCGAATTTTTGCCCAATTTTGACCAACTGGATCTGGATGAGCCATTTAAATTTGATAACCACCCATATTTATTTGAACACGGAGTACACGGACGCAGAGCTCACTGAAATTGAAGAGTGGACGAGGAGAGAGAGGGAGCAGCAACAGGCAGAGGAACATGTCCGAATCCAGCTAAAGGTAAACACAGACGTTCATTCCTCCTTTCCGTTATGTTGTCGGATAATTATACTAACAATCCGAGCCTATCTGTGTGGGAAAAAAATGCTCTTTTAGTTGGACGTATTTTGACGTTGTTTGACGCTGTCTGAGTGCCCGCTCACGGGCTGCAGACAGGTCAGCCCTAGCTTCGTACTGGAGAAATATCAAATATTGAACATGCTATCACTCATTTAGACAAAAGTAGATCGGAAAACAGGGCCCAGGTTGAAAAAACATTAGTTCCCCTTTAAGTTTAATTTATAAGTTTTAGAAATTCCGCATATGTTAATTTGTAGCCAACTGGTTAATTGGCAGCCTATTAATAGTCATACAGGGGATATGAAAAACATATGACCTTCAAAACATGTGTGAAGGGAGTGATGACTGGCTTATCAGCGGTTTCTGATTTTCGCTACATTCGCAGACACTCACTGATGGTCCGACACTGGAGTGTCAGGGCCTTAATATGTGAAACAACTTCACTGCTTCCTCCATGATACACCTCTGGGCAAACATATTTCCGTGTATAGAGAAATCAGTGTATGGCAGTTTGCTGTTTGCCAATAGCAGGGCACCTGTCAATTTAGAGTGATTGTGATTCACTAACATACACAAGGTGGTAAGAAAAGAATAAGCCAGCGTGCACATGTCATGAATCAATCCAGCGGGAATTTTGCATGCACACTTTATTATGCACAGAGTAAAAATGTTTCTACGCACATATTATTAAATGAGGCCCATTGTCTCTTTCGGAATAAGGGCAAAAATCGAAATATTTTGTGCATGTAAAGATAGACACTGTTGGCTCAGGATGTTACATGCATACTGAAAATAGCATGTATTCATTGAACTGGAGTCACATTCAGGTAACTTCTGCTCGCCTTGTATTGTTTTGAGCTTTGTCATTCTAACTAAGGAAGTCATCTTTAACAACAGGAGATGGAAAAGGGAAAGATACGCCCCTACATTTTAGCATTACCTGTACAAGACACAGTTATGGCTCTGGTTGAATGATTCTCTTCCCATGATTTACACGCGAAGGGAGCAGTGCAACCATAGGTTTTAGATCTGTATGACAGACGCCACACAGGTTGGCTTTCTGGGAGAAGACCCACTGATGTTGAGATGGCATCTCCACAGTCCAGTTGCCTGCAAACGTCCACAGAGTATTCTGAGTTCCAGTTACCCCAAATATCACCCAGGGGCCTCCACTCTCCATGATGCTTTCCCTCCAGTGTGCCTTTGCAATGAGTTTCTCCTCCTGTCAGTCTTAAAGTATACGGACCTGGATGGGGACAAGATTGCACACTTCAGTCTGTAGTCTGTCTATGGTCTGCATCACAATCTGCTGACATGAAAGCTTTATTAAACCTGGATGTGGACCAAGAGGCTGTGGTGTGTGTGTGTGTGTGTGTGTGTGTGTGTTTCCTCACATGATGCCTCCCTCCTTAATTTTCAGTGGTTTCATTAACCACAAACTGATATTCACTCTGCTTTTAGCTCTATTTTGGTCTCCATCAACCTCTGAGGAGCTTGCCAGCTGCTTAAGTGTTTCACTATGCCCGCCAGCTAGTTGCTAACTGTGTCTGTCTGCGGTTTGGTAGTGTACGGTGGAGTTCCCAGAGGTATTTTACCAAAAACAGTCGCCTGTTGCGACCAGAAACGAGGTTTATTAGAGTGGTGAGACTTACTAAAACAGTAATTTGCAGGCTCGAACACTAATAAATCAAATACTGTCATTTGCATTGTATAAATTTAAAAAGAACAGCACACAACTCTTAATGTAAAAAGGGCAGGTGCAATAAGCTAAGGCTTCAGCCTACACCTTTTTGGTCAGCTTAACTAAGCTTTGTTTTGTCACTGCTTCAAAAAGTAATGACTTATTATTGTTATCGCTATTATTACTATCTCATTTTTTCTTGTGCATATTTGGCTGACAGGGACAGACGCACAGTATGTCTATTCCAATGCTCCCGCGCTTCTTTAGCCTGGGGTGTTGTTATATTACATCGTATTTATTCAGCTGATGCTTTTATCCAAAGTGACCTGTGCTGCATTCACATGGAATCAGGTAGATGGTAGACAGCAGACAAACAACACAGCACATGAAAAACAAACAAACAGTCCAATAGAATGGTGGGATGGTAAAAGGAAACATGCCTCATGATATGTCCCAATGGTGATGCCATGTCTTCTTACTATATAATGACGAAAACTCTGTCTGTCTGTGGGTGGGTGTGTCTGTTCCACGTTTTTCTCCTCACTGACTTCGTCAATCCATGTGAAATTTGGTACAGTGGTAGAGGGTCATGGGAGGATGTGAATGAAGCAATATTACATCAATTGGCCAAAGGGGGGCGCTATAGCAACCGATTGAAATAGCAAACTTTGAATGGGCATATCTCATGCCCCGTATGTTGTAGAGACATGAAACTTTGCACAGAGATGCTTCTCCTCATGAGGGACAAATTTACCTCAAGAACCCATAACTTCCGGTTATATAGATTTTCCGCCGCATTTTGAATTTTTTGAAAAACACTTAAAATCAATCTCTTCCTAGGAAGTTTGACCGATCTGCATGAAACTTGGTGAACATAATCTAGGGACCAATATCTAAAGTTCCCTCTTGGCAAAAGTTGGAAAACTTACTAAAACTGAGCTTCTATAAGGCAATGAATATTGTGGAGGGCGTGGCTCATCACATAAAGGTGTATAACATCTCAAGGGTTTCACCGATCACCATGCAACTTTGTAGGCATATGACCACACATAATCTGAGGGGACCCCTCCATTATTGACCCCATCAAACAAAATGGGGGCGCTAGAGAGCTAATGTCTTATCTAGGCCTAACCACCATATCGATTTTTACTAAACTTGGTAGATATGTAGAACAGGACGCGTCAAGGTGACTAGAGAAATTTAACTCTAATTGGCAACTGGGTGGCGCTATAACAACAGAAAAATGCTTAAAAATGACTAAAATGCGACCGATTACTGTGGCTCCCCCTGTGGCCGAGTGTTTTGGGGTTTTTTTTTCTAATTTTTGGTATGACTAAGTCATGGTTCAGTATGCTGTACATAATCATGGTAACTGTCAGTGTGTCATTCTGTAAGTCAGTCAGTCATTGTACCAGTGCGCCCCACTTTTAAGTCAATACAACATATAAACACTTTAACTATCTGCTTTTCAACGTGCTACCTCAACTACTAATGTACAGTTTTAGCCCACTAACTATCCCACTATTGGCAATGGTACTACTGTACTTTCAATAAAGCAATCGTACTATCAAATTCACAAAAACTCTGTCTGAATACATTGTTCTTCTTAATGGGTTCAGTTGACTATTTAATCTGCTATTTCCTATGACCTGTATCCCAAACACACACCATGTGGAACTGTACGTGGGCAACTGTGTACTCAATGGGTATGGACTAGTTGTTAACAAAGAATGGAATATAGTACACTAAATACAATTGTTTTGTGTTTATTTTTATGTGACTACTGACTAGTAATGTCTACTTATTGTCCAGATCACCTGTGTTTTCTCTTTGTGTGAAGGAGTTACATAACATCTGGTTGTAAATTTTATCCAGGAGGACACAAAAAGTTGAACGATAATGTCGTCTACCAATACAGTTATACTCTGCCAGCCTCAACTAGTTTTACCGTCCTGCTCTCGTCCACTAAAATGATATCCAGTTAGTTCTGGTCTATCTGGTCTTGATCTATCTTGTGCCTGATTCCATGTGAAATCAGTATTACAATGAGTACATTCAACCACGTTCTCATTCTGAAGTCATCCTCACATCGCCACTTTGCAGTCACTTGTCATGACGATATATTGCACGCTAGGTAAGCTGTGTGCTGTTTATGTTCCAGGACACTGCAACCAATGCCAGGACATCAACAAAAGCACATGGTAAGGATTAGGCAATAAAACCATGTGGTTAGGTTTAGAAAACATCATGGTTTAGCTCTACGTTCATACGGGAAGCAAACATGGGCCTTCCTGGTGATCCATCCACCACTGCTCCTGACCGCCTCATAGGGACTTTCCGGCTCCTTATATTATGTCGTTACCAGTAGTGTTGCTGCCTTCCACAGATGGCTTTTGACGTGTCTGACGCTGACAAAGCGACGGCATTTGATGACTTCGGAATGAGAATGGGCTGGGGAACAACAACAAAAATTAGAATAAAAAAAAAGATGCAGTATGTACACATACTGTTGCATTTGAATTCAGGGGCATGTGTGCAGTCGTTGTGGGTCGATGTGGCGCACTCCTCAAGACGAGACTCGTTGCCTTTACATTTGAATTGTTTGGACAAGACAGGCATGTCTTTTCTTCTAAATGATGACGTAAAAGAGCTTGGAGGCCCCCAGCCTAACTCCCTGCAGACCACCTTTCTAGCCTCAGAATCAAAGCCATCCGCACACACCGAGACCCAACCCTGATCGGACTTCACCTCCACGTTGCCCCCGCAAACTTCTGCTGCTCCAACAAACCTCACAGTCTCTGAAAAACAGACAGAGAGAATGATCAAGCTTTAAAAAGGAATCCATGGCAAATCTTGCAATCTTAGAATCTTTGTCACCTGGCCGCCATGTTAGAAACAGTCGAGACAAAAACCAGGCACCGCCCACCCACCCAAATGTTATCATTTTACAGCTAAACAGTACACTAAAATATGTTCCTAAAAATATTTGGGATGAGAAATAACAATGCACTAACAGTATCTTGATTCATATTTGATCAGTGCTGACAGTTTAACTGCAGTTCACAAGCAGTGGTTGACATGATTGACAGCTATGTTTGAGACTCTTGATTGGTTGTTTTCCATGAACTGTGGTAGATTCTAGCAAAGTCATTTAAAGCACAAGGAGTGGGAGGAGGGGCCTATCTGTAAAATGCCCCGTTTCCACGACTCAATACATGAGTTGACGACGTGAATCCATCATCACACCTTAAATTTCACTGTGACAACTTTGACCATTACTTGAGTTTTAATAAAATATACACTTTTAGTAATGAGTGTATCTTCAAGTGTTTATTATGTGAACTGCATATATTCTAATCCTCACTCAGAGAAAAAAAACAGTGTTTCAGAGCATTGTTCCTGTGGGCTCCGGCAACACTAAACCCCTGAGCTTGCCTGAAAAGGACTAAATGCACAAACCTGCTACTTCTAAATATCCCATGGAGAGAGACTCTCACTGTAGCCTGTTTTATTTTATACTAAAAATGTCAGCATGCAGCCTCTTTCTGTGGATGACAAATTGAGTGCAGACTTCCCTCTGTGTCACCGGTACCATGTCTGAAGGGTTACTTTTAGTTCCAAAGGTACCATACCAAAAGTGTTTGGTGGAAACGGGGCTTACTGTACTTCTGTGTGGACATAGTGAGAGTTTCAGAAAATATGACAAAAAGTTATTTTTAATTTTATTTATATAAAACTTAAGTGATTAAAGTTTTGGTGCATTTAATTGCAAAATTTGTTTATTAGTTACCCTTTAAATTAACATTTTAGTTGATGTATCCTGTTTCCTCCAGACATTTGAAGAAGTAGTACAGATAAGATGTGACCGTGAGGCATTTGGAGAAATATTTGATGTGAAAAGTTGATTTGATATATATATATAAAAAAAAAACGCTCATAAACTGTTATTTGTGATGTGACATGAAAATATTGCCTGGTGCCATTTTTTGTCCTGTATTACCTGAGCAGATCACCTCCACACTGTAGGTAGAATTATCTTTCCTCTGCACTCTTCTACGTGTCATGGTACTCTCGCACTCCTTCAGAGTCGACTCAGTGCCTTCACAGGTGAACTGAACCTCCCAAGCTGGATGCCTGTCGGTGTTGTTGGTTCTCTGTGTTATTGAAACTACAGTGCCGCAGTCCATCTGCCTGCATGCCACTAGAGCATACTTGACTTTGTTCATGGCTGAAGCCTCATCCCTCACAATGTTCAGAGCTCTCCACTCTCCCCGATGCTTCATCTCCAGCCTGCCAGAGCAGAGGCTGTCACCATTGGCCAGCCGAGCATCTTCAGGCACTGAGGAGGAAGGTGGACAGTGAAGCTCTGATTTAGTTTCAAAAGGGCAGTGAGGCTGAGGATACTGCATCAGGAGTCAGCAAACACTCAAGAGTTATTGCCAGAAATGTGAATCTGAATTATGAAAGCCAAACCGCAATTAGAATATATAAAATAAAATGATGAGAGTAAAGCAAAAAGTCTCATTAAAACTCTATTTTTTCAGATATATTCATTCATTCATTCATTCATTTATTTTTCGTGACCACTCATTCTGTAGTATAGTATGCCGTCAAAAATCATGAAAAAACGTCATAGTATAGTATGTCGTCAAAAACCATGAAAAAAAAGTCATAGTATAGTATGTCATCAAAAACCATTAAAAAACATCATAGTATTGGTATGTCATCAAAAACCATGAAAAAACATCATAGTATTGGTATGTCATCAAAAACCATTAAAAAAGTCAAAGTACAAAATGTCATCAAAAACCATGAAAAAACGTCATAGTATTGTATGTCATCAAGAACCATTAAAATAGTCAAAGTATAATATGTCGTTAAAAACCATGAAAAAAACATCATAGTATTGTATGTCATCAAAAACCATGAAAAAACGTCATAGTATTGTATGTCATCAAGAACCATTAAAAAAAAGTCAAAGTATAATATGTCGTCGAAAACCATGAAAAAACATCATTGTATAGTATATCATCAAAAACCATGAAAAAAATTTCAAAGTATAGTATATCGTCAAAAACCATGAAAAAAACGTTATAGTATAGGATGTCGCCAAAAATCATGAAAAACGTCATAGTATCGTATGTGGTCAAAACCCATGAAAAAACGTCATAGTATAGTATGTCATCAAAAAACATGAAAAAACGTCATCGTATAATATGTTCTCAAAACCCATGAAAAAAATTTATAGTATAGTATGTCATCAAAAACCACGAAAAAAAGTTATAGTATAGTATGTGGTCAAAAATCATAAAAACAAAACTCATAGTATAGTATGTCATCAAAACCCATGAAAAAACATCATAGTATAGTATGTTGTCAAAAACCATGAAAAAAAACGTTATAGTATAGTACGTTCTCAAAAGCCATGAAAAAAAGTCATAGTACATAATAACATGTTTTGCAGTAGGGTTCAAGAGTTTAAACTATGAGCAAACATTGCATGGCATGGGACAGACCTTCAACATATAGGTCACACAAATATTTTCTGTATTTTAGGATACATAAAATTCATCCAGCAATTTCATAAAAACAGACACTCTAAAAGGACAAATTATGTGATACTTAAACTAATTTACAAATGCTTTTTTAAGACTAATCCATGCTTAGAATGATTTTTAATGTTACTAAGTACAGTTCAGTATTTGAGTAGTGTCATACTCTGTCTTCTTGTCATTTCTCTGATAAACTCCTAATGAATAGACCTGAATAAAAGGCTAAACTGAAGGAACGATGTCTCTGCTAACTCCAAACTGCCTCACCAGTCAAATGTACTCACCGGCAGACTTGCTCTGATGTTTCTCTCCTGGGATTTGACTGGAGATCTCTGTTGTCAGCAGAACAAAACACCAAAATACTACTAATGACCATCTGCAAATTAAACTATGCTGCATTGAGAGCATTTTTAATTTTGCTCCAATTTCACATAAACACAAATCTGAACCTACATTAAGTTTTGGTAGCTGGCTTGGTGAATACAGCAGGGCTGCACTCTGCACTCTTTTATACACACGTTTGTTTGCATAGTTGTCCTATCTTGTTGCCTCACCAACACAACCAATGGTGTCAATGAGCTTTTCTCCAGCACGTGGCTGGGAAAGTGGCTAATGTTAATCAAAATGATATGTTTATGTGGCAATCTGTATTCTACATCAGCATATACAGTAACCTATATACTTTATCAGTTTATGTAACCTGATATTAACCTTGGTTCAAGAGGGCCCATTGGATTACATTTCCTTTACAACAAATTTTACAACTTTGTAGTTATATTACAGAGATGAAATTTGCCTCAGTCTGAGGTCTTGAATATTTTGATAATTACTGATCAAAGTGGAAAAAAATCCACAAAATCTATGAGTGTGTTTTCTGATGACTGCACAAGAGGAGAGCATTATTGAGAATCAGTATTCACACTGAACTGACAGTGTGGTCCAACAGCTCATCAAATTATCAAGATAACATTACAGAGCTCTAGTACTGCCAACAATGAAACATTCAGTCTGTGAGTATGCTTAATTAAATTAAAAAGAATCAAACTTTCATTGCATCAACATACTGTACAATCGTTTTAGATTCACTAAGATTTTTTTTAATCATTTACAAACTGTATTATTCTTTTATTTGATCTTTGTATAGATATTTTGGGGGCTTTTTGCATTTATTTGATAAGACAGATATAGCATCAAAGCCATTTTCTTGTATATGCATGGATTGTGATGCTGTAGTTGCATGTAAGCCACTACAGTGGATCCAAGTGCGTCTTGCCGCACACTGCCACCCATTGGCCAGGTGTTGTAAGTGCAACACAAATCTCTGAAAACCAAGATGGCCGAAGGACTGCAAGAGATGTTGTGCAGCTCAGGAATTTATCGCCAGTCCTACTATAACGGGACACCTTTGCAGGTAATTAAAATCTATCAAATAAAACATCAAGTAACATATAAGAAGTAATGCAGTTGTTAAAATTTCCAAGTATTGGTTTTATGTTGGGAAGAAACTACAGTTAAACCTGGACATCATGCAGCACTGGCTATATTTTAACTACAATAAATACCATTACTACAACCTTGTACTTTATCTACATTCACTCTTTGAGCTGTAAATAATTTAATTTGTGTTATCGGAATGTAATGTTTGACAAAAACAAAATATTTTTTACGCAGACGTATTTGATAAAACGTTCATTGAAAAAATATAATTAGTTTAACAGGGGGAGGTTTGTGGGGGGCTGAGGAGTCAAGAGCAAAGAGCTGAGTGAGGGAGGAGGGGTACAAGAGGCAGAAGAGTCAGAGGCAAGGTTCAACGCTTTTGCTTATGCATTGAATAGTATCTTTAAATAGGTGAACACTAGTTTAACAGCATTAAAGTATATCTTGTTGTAGTTTCACATAGTTAATCTTTTTTTTTTTTCATTGGTTTATTAAGGTCAGTTGAAAACTTGAGCGCAGGCTGTCCACTGGACTGGATGGGTAAAAAAAACTTCTCAAAAATGCATGTTTTAAAAAATGAACGTCGTATTTTTGTTTTCTATGACTTAAGGTGAATACCTAGGAAAAACATGACTGAAGTAGTCATAATTCACGCGTGAAAGGGTTAAAATATTTAGCTTAGCCCTCTGGGCCATCGTGTTAAGGTGATAATAAAGTAGTTCTGATTTAGTGCCGTCGCCATTTTATTTTGAAAGCATACAGCCAAACCGGAAGTCCTAGCTTTTCGTGTGCAGTGCTGGGAAGGTATGGGTTAAACAGGATGACGACCCGTCGTGTAGTTACGACGAACAGAAACAGAGAAATAGCAGCTTTTAACAGACAGAACCGTCTGGAAGACTTGTGTTCTTTATAAACGAGTAAATGGTTAATAAAAAGTGTACGAGAGTGGCTCCTACGCTTAAACGCCATATACAGAACATTACCAGTCCCGAGCAGAGAGAGGCTCGAGGACGTGGCTCTAAAGTCCGTTATCCCGTCTGTTCCGTTAATGTCATTGACCCAGTGACGTTTCAGATTGTTCTCTGTAGTACATGACCGTGGAGCTAGCGACACAACATAGCGTCATATAAAGTCATATGAAACTGTTTAATCGATGACGAAATGTAACGTATCGAGATAAAGTTTATTTCCGGTTGTGCGTAGTTCATCAACAGGTGGCTCCGTGGCGCAATGGATAGCGCATTGGACTTCTAGTCAAGCACTTGAGCAGTGATTCAAAGGTTGTGGGTTCGAGTCCCACCGGAGTCGCACTTTTGCATAGCTTTGCTGTATGGATTACAGACGTCCTGACACTTTTATGCGGTCTTTTTGGCTCTAAATCGCTTTTACATAAAATTTCGCTAGCTAACGCCTGAATGTTTTCAGCAATTGTTCAAGTAGCTAACCTCCATCTGCGCTCATGTTGTCTGCTGTGTGTTGCCAAGTGTGAGTGTAATACCCGTCATCACATTGTATGGAGGACGAAAATTATATGCTGAAATAAATACATGAATCTTTCAATTAATAAATATTTTAATTATAAAATGAAACAATAGATAAAAGCGAATATAAATAAATAATATGCATACTTAGCATGTCTTAAATGTTGGCAATTAAAATATAAAATATGAAAATGCAGGAATTTAATTTAATTAATTATTTACAGCTTGTATTTATTGTTAATTATATTTATTAAGCAGCTTAAAATATGAATTTATTTACCAGTGTATTTATTCAAGCTTTTATCCACATATTTACTTAAATATTTGTTGCCAATAAGTCACTTTTTAGGCCTGCCAAATAAATATAGGTAGTTAATTAGGAAATGAATAAACATTACTTCTACAAATCTGTCTGTCTGTGCCTATACGTTAATGAGGTATTTGGTACAGCTCCACTTTTGCCTTACAGTAAGGTTAATACCACCTAACTTCCAAAATTTAGTTGTACATTTATTACTGTGGTTAAGAAAATCTATTTAATGATTCATTAATTGATGCATTGATTGATTATTCATGCATTTATTTCAGTTTTGTCTTCATTTTACCATTTATCTACATATAATGATGTGATTTATGGATTGATTAAATTATTGATGATTAAAACATTTTAGTCTTCCTTAACATACATCAAAAATGACACCTTTGTAGTATCCAAACAGGTAATTACTCCATTGTTACTACATTGTTTCTGGGGATAACAAACTGTGGACAAATGAAATAGGTGATACATAGCCAAATGAAAACGCTGTTGACCCTGTAGGTTCAGTATGAGATATTTGGTATATGTAGGAGACAGTTACTATTTAATCAAACCACCAGATGGCATTTTTCAGTAGTATCAGTCCATGTGCAGTCTAATAATCTCCAGCCATACAGAGTCATGGTGAAAAAGAGCAGTGAGCACCATCAAAAAACCAAACAGCGCAGAGGAGAGAGGACGTCAGTGAAGCTGTGTAGTCAAAGTGAGACGAGACAGAACGGCAGTTTGATTCAGTCTTCAATCAGATCACCGATGATGGGAATGCTGAGGACATCAGTGGCCTTTCTTCTTCACATGGCAGCCTCTCTGGCAGTAAGAAACTCCAACTCCTTCTCAGTATATAAAACTACTACTGTAAATACTATATTACTGTAATCATTTCATATGACCACAGATATGGGGGTTAAATGTAGTTTGTAGATGTTGAAATAATAACTAAAGACAAACCAGATTAAGGAGGACAGTGTATCTCTACTGTCTACCATTTCAAGTTTGTTTCTATGAGACTCAGGTTTTGGATCGAGGGGGATCACTGGTGCCTGTTCTTACTACTTAGGTTGCTTATATTAGGTGTCACCTGACCCATAATTACTGATGAAAACATTATGTAGCTCTACTCTGGTGCAGCTTTGCCCCCGATAAAATTAAATATTACATTTTTTCCTCATTGCTTATGCACAGATTTTAAAACTGAAGGCCCCTTTTTGAAAAAAAAAACTGCACACACTAATCACAAAACCTTTACTGAATGTAAACAATTCTTGCAAAACTCTTTTAAAAAATCAATACATCATCAATACAGTACACACACACACACAGGTATCCAAATGTGTGAAGTGTGGATGTTTATTCCACACTATTAATACAAACACTGTAAGGGGAAAAAAAAATTTTTCTCACAAAATGTTTTAACACTTTTCAAATGGCAGATGTGCAGGAGAAGAAATCAAAAACATTTGTGTTAAAAATTAGGCTAAATGTTGCCGTCTTTGTGGGTCTGGCCAGAGGACTTTATCTACATCACAGTTAATGTTTTCTTGAGCCAAGCAGCAAATGTGTCAATAAATGTTGAAATAGTGTAGAAATGTAAAGAGCAATGTTCACAGTTTTGCAAATGTGTCATAATATAAAAAAAGTGTTTAAAGCAGAGGACGTTAATTCAGTTTGGCACAGTTGGTAAATGCATTGGTTACATGTGTTAATGGTTCCAGAGACAGTGCTTAAAAACACTGTGTTTAGCATTAATAAAACGTGCCTCTGTAACAGTGTGAGAAAACATCTCTCATCTCATCTCTTTGTTCATATTAAAGGTGGTGTATGTAACGCTGGAGAAAGATAGTTGATAGTTGGGTCTCATTCCCAGGTCGTCAAACACCGACACCTTGGGTTGTTAGTCAGATTGAACCACCAACCACCAGTATTTCACGACCTGGGAATAAGACTCATCTATCAGCTATCTTTCTATATCTTTGTCATAACTTTCAAAAGCTCAACTTAGAGGGTTAACTGTTGCATAACAACCACAAAAACACAAAGCCACAGTATGTCAAACATGAAGCATTTATTCTTTGCATAATGGTTGCAGTTTTTTTTTATATCCAAAAGCAAATCAAGTTGTTGACTGGCCCTGACTGTTTCCATCCTACTACACTTAAAGTCCAGGGTAAGCTGTGATGTATTACTTACTAGTCTTGTCTTTCTTCCTCTGTCCAGGCCCCTGTGCCATGTGAGGAGAAGGTGGTCCGTCTGGAAGCGGAGATCCAGGGCCTGAAGAACGTGATCGACGACCAGCATCGCTACATCAGGGGGCTCCACAACAGCCAAGCTCAGCAGCTGGAGCACATACCCAACTCACACCTGGGCCCTGACAACCTCTACAGAGGTAGGGAGAGATTTCTATCAGAGATACATGCATGTGTGTTTATTGTATCTGCCTTCACTACCTACCTGTTTACAGTTCTACCTGCAGAGCTATCAATACACAAGTGCACTAGCTACTTCCCTGCCTGTACCACATGTCCTCCCACAGTGTTTAGCACAGTGTTAAAACTATGCTAATTGTCTGATTTTACCTCGGATATCTTTGTGTGTTCAGACTGCTCCGAGGTGTTTGCAGACGGTAACGTGGCCAGCGGGCTGTATGTCATTCGTCCAGACGGCTCTCCCACTGCGCTGAGCGTGTACTGTGACATGAATAATGGAGGAGGATGGACTGTCTTCCAGAGGAGGAGAGACGGCAAAGAGAGCTTTGACAGGTGTGTGTGTGTGTTTCATCTTTTCACACATAAACACAGGAATTCAAACTCTGCGTGTGTCAAGAAATTTGACATTGCAAGTGTATGTATAATGAGTGTGTGTGCTGTGTGTGTGCAGAGCGTGGGTGGAGTACAAACATGGATTTGGAGACCTCTTCTCCCCTGATGGAGAATTCTGGCTGGGCAATGAACCTCTACACTTTATCACCTCACAAGGTGAGTTTATCCATATATGTGTGTGTTTGCATGATTCCTTAAACATTATAGGATCACAGCCTGTGTAACTCAGTGTCTTGTAGGAAACTACGACCTGCGGATCGACATGGAGGACTTTGAGGGTAAGCAGCGTTATGCAGAGTACAAGAACTTCAAAGTGGACAATGAAAAGGTAAAACAGACAGAGCCCGGTTAGTTTTCGTCCATTTAAAGTGCTTGTTTTTGCCACTGAAAGGCTCAGCTTGTTAGCATGAATGTCTCAACAACGTTGCAGAAAAGACCCCACAGAGAATTAAAACTTGTCCTCTGTACCTTTTGCTAGTTCTAGTCTGTTTTGTGTCTAAGTCTCGCTAAAGGAGAAGTCTCGTTCTGAAATCTCACGAGAGGTGACTTATTGCAGTAAAAACAACAGTGGAATGTTTGTGATGATTCTGTCTCATGAGGATCTCCAACAAACACCACATCCCGGTGCACTTCAAATCCAGTAACACACTGAGGCAGAAGCTCATTCACCCTAAGGACAAAACACACAGGCAAAAGCAAACCAAACAACCACTCCACAAGTGCATGGCACAGCACAGAGAGTCAGCTCCTCAGGTTGTCCATTTACATTTAGAGGGAAACAGACACTCCTTCGATGATAGCAAAGTTCACATCTTGACCATAGAAGACAGATGGTTTGAAAGAGGCCATCTACATCAAATTGGAAAGACCATCCTTAAACAGAGGAGGTGGCCTACGACACCACTTATCACCCACCTACAATGCAGTCTTGGGATCCCTCCCCAGACAACTTAACACCCATTCACACCTGGACCCATCTGACCCTAATAACACACATGATGGATGGTCAGGCCGACGACTCTCATGTGACCTTAACAACTCTGAAACTCAGAGCTCACATCTGTAAGGGTTCACCCCCACATAGAGTATAAAGACTGCGACTCCGCACCAGTCCGTTAGAAATTGTTGTTTATTAATTAGAGATGATGTGAAGGTAATGAAGGAGACTCTGCTGACACCGTCTTGCTTGTATATAGAAAGGTTTATTACAAGAAGTCCAGCATCAAATCAAGCACCTAGGATTGCCTGAGAGAGGGTTCGAAGACAATATGAACTGCTCTGAATAACAGCTCCAACTACCCTGCTTATAAAGGTTGGTTGTTTTTGTGAACTTTGAGACAAAATTAAACATGTAACAAAGAGACACTCTAGATAAAATTCAACCATTCAACCTAGCTAATCAGTTCTTGACCTGGGCCCCAGTCAATCCTTGACCTGGGCCCCTAACTGATCATATCAGACCCAGGACGTCAAATACCATATGGAACTTAAGATACTACAAACTGAAGGAGCCTCTTGGATGAGATGTCTTCAAGAAACTCAAGCACGTCTAGTCGCCTTCGATAAGCACTTAAGAAAGGTGGAAATGTTAGTGAGAGTTGTAGAAAGGGTTGCCAGTAATAGTTTGTTGTTACAAAAACTGTATCTTACCGTAATCTAAAAGATTTTTAATGTCATGGCTGAATATTTAAAGATTTCAACAATGTGGAAAAAGTCTGGGAGATTACAAAATGAGACTTTTCCTTTAGTAAGACAAACCGAAACAAGCGCAGAAAGGCGTTTCATTTCTTTTTAGGGTCCTTTCCATAATGTTGTTGAGACATTCACAATAACCGTTTGAGCCTGTCAGTGGCAAAAACAAGAATTTTCAGTGGATGTTAATGGATAGCATGCACCTGACCCAAGTGATTACATTGCAGCTTGTTTCGCCACTGCCGGCTGCAGCTGTCTTGCTCTACAATGTACCTTGATGGCATTGGCCACCAAGTAGAACAATGCACCATGCCTCAGTGCAAAAACAGCTCAGGAATGGCCTGAAGAACGCAACAGAGAGCTCAACTCATCGACCTGGCCTCCAAATATCCCAGATCCCAATCTGATAGAGCATTCATGGGATCTGCCAGTACCCCAGAGGTACCCCTGATCCACTGTGGGGCCTTTTTGGATCAGACTTGGCTCTGACATGTCAAGGCATGGACACAAGACCTCTGTGGGTGTCCTGTGGAGTCTGGCGGTGGATCCTTTGAGACCTGTCGGTTGTGAGGTGGGGCACTGGCATGTCCCACGGATGCTCGATCAGATTAGGATCTGGGGAATTTGGAGGCCTGGTTGATGCCTTGCACTGTTTGTCACGTTCCTCAGGCCATTTCTGAGCATTGTTTGTGGTGAGGCATGGTGCATGTTCTGCTGGAGGGGGGCACTGCCATCCAGGAGTGTTACTGCCAAGAGGGGGGGACTTGGTCTGCAATGGTGTTTGGATGAGTGAAGTGCTTCAAGTGGCATCTGCATGACAGCAGAACATTTTTTCTATATTTTTCTATCTTGTAAAAACAGCTTGTAACCCTCTCTGTCTGTCCACCTGTCTTTTTTCTGGCTTTAACCTCACCCTCTCCTCATTTCCCATAACAGCAAGTGTCTTATTTAGACTATGTGTGTTCTTTGTGTTTTATTACCTCTGCTACAGAAACAATAGCAAGGACGTCTGGCTCCTGGCCTGCCAGCTGTTCTCCATTTCTTTCCATTCATCCTCCTGTCTTCCCTTTTTCTTTCTCCTCCCTTCAGGCTTCTACCTGCTCATTAACTTTCCTCTCAATACCTCTATCTCTATCATCCTTTTTTATCCTTTTATCCCTATAACCCTGTTTCTCTTTCCTCCATCCTTCCCATCCAAAAAGCTGCATCAATTCACAGTATCATAGATATGAATATAAAATATACAACATTTCTTGCCGTCCTTACTTTTGATTGTAAGTTTTCTATTTCTAAAATAAAAGTTTGTTTGTCATTGATGTAATAACTGGATAATAGTATAACATGTAAGAATATCAAAGTATGAAGCCCCTAAAGTATTGAAAGGTGACATTTTTTATTATGTGCTTTTGAGAACAGGTTATTATCGTGTTCACACAGAATGAAAAAATACCACCTTTCTGCGCTTTAGGGGCTCCATACCAAAGTGCTTTTGCAGTGTCAACGATTAACTGAAAACTCTTTGCTCTTACTCCTCTGTTAAACCAAAGGATCAGTACCAGTTACATTTGGGAGAGTACAATGGGAATGCAGGGGACGCCCTAGCTGACGCCCATGGCCTCCCCTCTACACATCAGAAATGGGCCGGTCCAGGTGGGATCAAGTTCAGCACCTACGACCAGCTGAATGACGGCAATGCTGACAGTGAGGCCAAGTGCATCAGACACAGCAAGTCAGGCTGGTGGTTCAGCAGGTGACACACAAATCCTTCAGTTAAGCTGTAAAAAAAACATTTGGAAATTAAAAGAGAAAAAAAAACAAAATAGCAACAAGTGTACAGTAGTTACAACTGGCAATGTTTTTCTTTTACCTCCTCATCACAGGTGTGACTCAGGCAACTTGAACGGTCACTACTACAAAGGACCGTACCAAGCGATGATGGATGACGGGGTGGTGTGGTACACATGGCACGGTTGGTGGTACTCCATCAAATCCGTGGTCATGATGGTGCGAGCATCTGAACTGGACCATCTGCCGCCAGTCATTGCGCCGTTAACGGGACCATTTGACTCAAGCAACGCGCCAGGAGATGTCATTGATGTTCCTTATGGCCAAAAGGCCTGAGAGCAAGTGTGGAAGCAACATGTGTCTCCTCACTGGAGCTGAAATCTTCTCCTATTTTTTACATATTTGACTTAAATGATAACTTTAATGCTCTTTATTTGAACGTAGACTTTATTTTTTACCATGTTTTTGTGTCTAAGTGACTTTTTGATACTGGCCCTGTATTAAGAGAGGGTTGCAGCCAGCAGCAGGCAAACAGGCTGCAACGTGATTCCTACACGCAATAAAGCACCATCAATTTACATCCATTTAAGTCCTGGAGTCTCCTTCAAGGAGAAGTCTCGTTCTGAAATCTTTGAGTTTTACAAATTGTCAAAATCAGTTACTTATTCAGCCGTAATGTTGAAAATCTTTTAGGTAAGTGTAGGCTATGCTTCTGTACTCCAAAACAACAAACTCTCCCGACACTCCTTCTTTTCAACTCTCACTAGTGTTTCCACTATTATTTTTTGTGCCGCAAGTCCCCTCTTGCAGGATTTTAGAACGAGACTTCTTCTTGAGTGAGACAGTAAATACACAATAACACACAGACCAGCGAAAGTTAAGGTAAAACTTTTCATTTCTCTGTAGGGTCCTTTTCGTAATGTTGTTAGACACTCCTAATGAACATGTTGGTAGCAGAATCAAAAACATCCAATCGCTGTAAATTGACTGCACAGTTGCCTGTAGGGATTACATTGCAGTCTGTTTCTCCAATCAGCTGCAGCGGTCTCACTCAGTACTGGACCAATTAAAAAAATTGTTGTCTCCATTATTCACTTATGCCCTATTAGTACAGGATTAGTTTTACCTGGGGACTACATGTGATTTAGAAATCACCCCGCCACGTCTGTGTTTTGTCTGGTGCATTCACGGGGAATGAGCAAAGTCTTTACTCAAATTTACTGACATTATTCCCAAGGTATGGTGCGCACAATCATTTGTAATTTCACGACAAAGCACCACAAGTACTGATGTACAGTGTTAATATCCTTTTTTCTTTAAACTGTGGGTTAAACCGAGATTTCCCTCTTCTGATAAATTTGAGCTTGCTTTTCTGCGAATGGTTCTTCACGCTGTGTAGCAAATGAGACTCCAGCACCAAAAATGCTGTCATAACCTTAGTGTATAAATGCAAACACAGTTTCCATAAGTCTCTGTAAGTCATGGAGAAAACAGAAAACTTACATATGACCCAAAATCCCCTAGAATATTATATTATCACATGGCCTCTGTGTATGGTGAATTATGATCGGTCATTTTCAGTGGAATTTTTACTTGGCAAATTATGGACATGGCTGATTTGCAAAGAATTAAGATCACAGACGACCTCCGAAATTACAACAACCTACTAGAGAACCACAGGTAATACTACAGGTATGTTAATAGGGCTTTAGACACAATAACTTGGGGAAATAATCCACATCTGTAACAGGGTACACACTGGATAAAATCAGTGCCATCTAACTCAACCCTTGCCTGTACTCTGCTGTTTGACTTTATAAAAAATGCATACCATAGCATTTATTGAAAAAAAAACAATGTTGCTTTGATCTGTCATACTGAATTTATTCCATGTCCAAAATAAAACAGAACACGGTGAACTGAGGCAATTTGGGTACATCTGAGTTTTTTCAGGACAAACACCAGACAAACAAAGTGATACTTTTATTTGGATTCAGTAACACAAAGGCCAGTTATCGCTCAGTGAAGGAGAGTCTGGGAGATTTCTCTGTGGAAATGATCACGGGTGATTTCATATGCGACCCAAAGCAAAGACAGATATTAACTGATCAGCCACAAGTTCAGCTTTGTTTCTGTTTGGGCTCAAGGTGACTTTAAAGGATGTAGGGGAGTCGATGCCTTTATTTAGAGATTTAAAAGGAAAAAGTAAAGGGGTCGGAGTTGAACACTGTCCTGGCCAACACACTCCTTCTGCATATTTGGCTCTGAGATGGTGTGTTGCTTCTCTCTGAACTGGCCTGCTCAGATTTAACATCCAAGGGTGATTACATTCCACATAGTAGATTAAGGTAGAGGTTGTGAGGAGCTTACAAGGAAGAACAGATATCCATCGGATCAAAGGTTCATGTCAGTAATACAGGTCAGTTCCTCAGGTGGACACTCTGAGTATTTGTTCCTGTTTGCCCACTGAAGGACATCGAGTTCATCCACTTGTTCCAGAGGTCCAAAGCAGATACGTGATTGAGCTTCGCTCTTTGGGGAAAAAATATCCTCTTTAAAAGAAGGGAAAAGGCAAAAGAATCCATGCCGTGCCCGTCTCTTTTATGATTTGCCAAACCCAAACAACTTGAGTCTGTTCCCACGAACCTCCATCCGCCACAAATCCAAGGTTTTTTTCTCATCCATCTCTTTAGAAAAAAACGGTATAAAAGAACAGGACGAGCTGAACTTAAACTGTACAACATATCAGAAAAAAAACAGGTAAAGATAGTCATAACGAGAGCGAGGCGCCATGTACAGACCCTGAGGTGTGCCTCTTATTTACGTTTCCTTCTGAAAAAGAAGAAAGGTTTGTTGGAGAACCAGGCGTTTGGTAAAGAGCAAGGCCAGTCCCGCTCCCATAAGTTAAGTGCATCGGTGCCACTGCAATGTCTTTGCTTTCAAAATAAGTGTCTTCAATGCAGTTAATTCCAAATGTACAAGTTTATCAATAATATCCAACAATACTGATGTAACTGAAGTCTCTCTCTGCATTTGGAACATCTTTGCAAGGCTTGTAAAGGTTATAAAGAGGAGCAGGAGGTCAGAGGAGAGGAAGGGGTTGCTCTGGTTGGGGTTATCTGGGCGATAAGGGCGCCGCTGTGGGGAAGGAGGCAGAGTTCCGAGGTGAGCTGAAGGGAGAGGTGGGTGAGAGGCGGCGGGGACTCGCCAGCAGGTCACCGTTGTGGAGCTTCCACAGCAGCTCCTCGTTCTCCATGGACAGACGCTTGTTGACCTTGGACTCTTTTTGTAGCGTCTGCTGGAGTTTGGCCTGTTCGTTGGACAGCTGCCTGCAGGGGGAGACAGAGAGCTGAGTGGGCTGAATGGAGAAACACTGATGCTACAAGAGTCAAAGTTTATGAAGATAAAAAAATGTGAAAGAATAAAACTGAGCTTAGATTTTAATATCTGTGAGAACTGCTTTACAGTCCACATTTTCATGTTTTCATTAGTCAAACAATATTCCTACTGAAATCAGAAAATGTCTCTAATGTTACTGTAAAGTGTAAAGTTTCTTTAGCAGCAGTGAAAATAACCAACATCAAATCAACATCGAAATGCTTGATGTGAGTCTTTTGTTTGTACACGGATGAAGTAATTAAAATAGTTACATTATCTATCACATTTCTAACAGGGTAACTAGTAATCAGTAACCTATTTACACTGGTTAAACCTCACAATACTTGGTATTCCTGGCAGGTTAAATCAACAGAGTCATATCTGTCACAGGTCTGATGGAGTCATGAAGCAGAGATGGACAGCTTTACTGGATAGCTGAGAGAGAAGTGAAGTGGAAAACAGGAGGCAGATAGATGCTGCTGTCAGAGCAGATGGCAAAACTGACGCCTCTGCAGAGAGATGAGTCACCATCTCACACACACACACACACACACACACACACACACACACACACACACACACACACACAGAACCTGGAGTACGTACTTGGAGAGAGCAGCGTGTTTGTCCATCCTGGCCTTGTAGTCCTCGTTCTCCTGTTGGACCTTCGTCAGACACTCCTCCAGCTTTACATTTGTCTCCAACTGTGTCATTAACACAAAATATTAGTTTGATGCAAACTCCTATATACACATGCACATATTCCTCTGAACTGTGTCAGTATGTCTGGACTGCATGATTTGTGCTCATCTTCAATCGCACAAAAAATTAAAAGTAATACGATTATTTCTGAATATTGGACTCTTGTGAGAATGAAAACGGCTCATTCAGACTACAGAGGAAACCTGATGCTCACCAGTTTGTCCATCTCCATGAGCTTCTTCTCCTTTTGGTGCAGCTGATTGTTCTTGATCTCCAACACCACCTTTAGACTCTCCAGCTCCTGCTCCAGGTACAATGTGTGGGAGTCCTTCTGCACAAACAAACAAGCAAACAAAAAAGTGAGCGCATGACATTTCAACGCCCTCTGTGGGGAAAAGCACCATGTGGTCATGCTAATCATGTCATTTCTGTGAGCTAAGAGCACTCATGGTTAGAGAGAGGTCAGTTCATGGAGCTCAGAATAAAGTTAGAGTGTGTGACTCCTTAAAACCAGCAGGGGGAGGTTGTGTTCAGCAAAGAAACAGATTCAGACCAATACTATCTGAGCTGAGAGTCACAGTGACAGAAAGCTCTTATTACAGATGCAAACATCTTTACCAGATTCTTGTCACTGAGTATCTGCTTCCTCCTCTCCTCCTCCGCTTTCAGCTTCTCATTCAGAGCCTCCTTCTCTGCCGACAGCTCAGATATTTTCTCCTGGTAAGAGGGACAGAGGACAGAGACAGAGGAATTACTGAGTGAACACTGAGCTTTGGTCCTTACAAAGTTAGCCGGACACTTCAGAGTCAAAAACGGTAATAGGTCAACTTCACTGTGAACCTGAGAGGGATTTAAAAAACATGATTAAAAAAACTTCACTGCCAATATGAGGAGCATTTATTTATTTTTTGTGCGTATGGGACTGCAGGACTCCAGACATGCTACATTATAAATTTTTAAACTTTGTGTATCCATACCTATCATAGCTTTGTTTTGTTTTTGCTTCCAACCAACAACTAAACTACAGAATTTCACCAAACTGTTGGAGTATGGCAGGAATATACACAATAAATCATTGTGACTCTGACAGAAGAATTTAGACATTTGAATATTTTTCCCTGGAAAAAAGTGCAGAAGAAAAACATGTTTGGGTAGCAAGGGAACTCAATTTGTTTTCTGACTAAACTGGAATAATGCAGCACCTGTTCAGTGACCAAAACCAGCCCTGATGCAAGAAGAAAATGTCGGCATTGTCCGTTTCTGTAAACCATGAATATGTTACATTTGCACGGTTTATATGCATCATATCAATGTTTCTAAAGTGATGTAGTATATAAGCTGACTTTGTCATCAGTACGTGGAGGGGATGGTGGATTGCATGACACCTAGGCAAGACGTCTGCCAAGCTGCAGAAACACTGTTCCAGACCAACAAACAATAAAACCAGTCGTGTTTTAGTGACCTTTCCTGTTTATCCAGGGGCACCAAACATGGATGTTTAGGTGACCCGTCGCGTCTGCTTCTTCAAACTGGGGGCACAGCAACTAACATCTACTGTAGGTAAAACACTGACTACGCGCAAGTACCTCATAAAACCCCACTTAAAAGATCCGAACTATCTCTTTAATATATGAGCGGCTCTTACAGAGAGAGATGCTTCTGTCTCCTTCAGTGTTTTCTTCAGGTTCTCCAGGTCGGCCTGCTGGAGCCTCTTCAGCTCTGAAATGCACAAAGAAACACGTTAACAATCACGTGAGCAAAACCACTGACTAATCAGAGGTGAATAATCTTAAAAATTATCATTCAATATATTAAAACAATAACACAGTTTAGTATGTAAAGTCTTCAGTTTTGTGAATGACGTTGTATATGCTTGACCTGCACACACACCTTCTGTGGAGGCCTCGTACTGCTGTATGAGAGACTCGATCTTCTGGCTGTGACTCACTTCCTGGTTCTTCCTCTCTGCTTCCTGTTGGCTCCTGAGCTCCTCCACCTGAAGGATGCAGACACAAATAAGGGTGGTGCGCAAATGACTAATAACTAATAACTCAACTAATGCTCAAACTAAACCCAGCTGAGAGGAGTTTTTAAATCAGCTCTCAGGAAATGGCTGTTAATTAATGAGCAGATACACACAGTAAATGTAGAATTTTAAATAACTCATCAAGTTGTGCTGAACCATAAAGTAGCTCGAGCTTAACATTCATATGCAAGCTGCAGTAATTTCATCAATCAGCAATCAGCTGTATCAGAGGTGTAACCATGACGACGGTCATAAAACTCTGGCAGAGATTTTTTATGAGCAGCTGCATGGTGTGTGTGCTGAATCTGAGCTGTGAGTCACACCGAGCTCCTGTGAACCAATCAGAGCTCAGTCTGAGGAGGGCAGAGGATGTCCCCAGAGGTGACACCAGTGTTTAGAGCTACAGTTTAGTTTTTTTTTCTCTTTAAGATATTTTTTTGGGGGCATTTTAGCCTTTAATTGATAGGACAGACGAGTGCGAAAGGGGGAGAAAGAGAGAGGGAGTGACATGCAGCAAAGGGCCACAGGCTGGAGTCGAACCCGGGCCGCTGCAGCAACAGCCCGAGAAGAGAGAGGAAAACTGCGTGATGCTCACCATGTAGCATGCTCTATCAACCACAACAACAGCAACAACAACAATATGGTACTAAACCGGAGACGGAAATCGATGGTGCGCCAGACTTTAAAGTGGTAATCCAGTATCTTTGGTTTTACTTTGGTGAACACTTTGACTTTGGTGAATTTGGTGAATTCCGGATCTGCTCTCTAGACTGGAACCAGAATCCAGACAAAATTCAGAATGAATGGAAACCAGGCTCTTCGCCGTACGTGAAGAGCCTGGTGACGCGAGGCTATGATTGACAGCTGCGTTAGAGACTCCTCAGCTCTGATTGTATGTTTTTTGCTCAGCCGCAATAGATTCTAGCAAATGCTGCCAGGTGCACTACGAGGAGGAGGAGAAACGTGATTTTTTTCCACATATTATGTGTCTCGCTCTTAGTTCTGTGTGAATATAGTGAGAGTGTCAGCAAATATGAAAAAAAGTTGACCCTGATGACGACCTGTGAGTCACAACACGCTGGTCTGTTTAATCTGTACTGCCATGTAAAATAAAGGCATTTTAATTTTTGCACAAACTCTACAGTGTGCCTTGGATTGGAGACTTGCATTTTATATTTTGGATTTAGAGTTTACTCATGCAATGCATTTTGAGGATGTTTTTTTCATCAGATAATAGGATTCAGAGATGATCAGATGAACACAAAGTGACCACACACTGATTTTTTTTGTCTCCTGCAGTCATGTTTGCAGCTCAGCAGTAGATGAGAAGATTAAAATCCATGTATCAAACGTCATGCTGCATTGTGAGAGGGAATGTTGTCTTCATCACCTGTCGTGTTCAACTCTGTCATTATTTCATAATAAGACTTGGATTTATGGGAGCTGAAGAACATTTTATGAGTCTAAGAACATTTTATGAGTCTAACAGGCAGCTACTTGTTGCTCATGTAACGGGAGTGACTGTAACAACATGTGTGCGTGTGTCCGCTCTGACCTGCTGTTCCATCAGCATGCGGTATCTGTCAGCCTCCTCCTGGTACGTCTGGTGAACTTTGTCCCACTCTGTTTGGTAGAAACTCCTCAATCTGACACACACACACAGATATACAATTAAGGACACAAAGTACGCCCAGAGAACAGTACAATCAATGCAGACTTTGATTTCCTAATAATAATGTGATAACACTGTTGGGTGTCTGCCTGTGAGCACATCAGCAGAGGTGGATGCCACACCTTTCCTCCAGCTGCACCAGCTCCTCCTTGTGCTGCTCCTCCAGCTTGTTCAGGGCCTCCTCCAGGTTGACGCGCACCTCCTCCTTCCCCTTCTCCAGACGCTCGCAGCATTGTGACGATACCACTGCAAGGAGACAAGAAGAGCAGAGGAAATGTTAGTTTGTACTTCTCACTGAAAACTCTTTAAGGACCCTTGAGACTTGTTGGTTGGGGATCAATGTTTCATATGAAATTATGAATTAATATGAATGAGCAGCACACAAAGAGCACAGTCTAACCTAGAATGAACTGTTTTGTTTAACACTTTGCAACAAGATCCAGAAAACAAAAGTCTCAAAATGAAGAAGGAAATAATCTTATCCATTTTAAAATGTAGAGGATTATCATTTCTTTAGATATGATTATGTTTGAGTGACTCAGACAAGAAGGAGAGCACACATCGTGTATATTTTTAAGCCTTTACATTTGTGACCTGTTTGTTCTTGCATTGATTTAAAAATGCTTTTTATTAGTCTATGAGGCACTACATGGCCGTATACCAGATTACCTCACATAAATGCTTTTATTTATGAACCAGTAAGGCCCCTCAGATCATCCAGCTCTTCTCTCTCAGCTGTTGCACAAAGCAGAGCAAAAATATTTGGCAACGCTGCTTTCAGCTATTTAGCTCCAAGCTGCTGGAACAGCTTCAAGAGGATCTGAAATGAACTGAATTTACTGATATCTTGGAAAAGCATAAACTAAAATTAAACTAAACTATTTATTTATACTCATTTTATTATTGTTGATCATTGCGATTTATTTTATTATATTTTTTTATTAGCATTTTACTGTTATTTTTTTGTTTTTGTGAATCACTTGTAAAGCACTTTGAGATGCATTGATTTGTTTGAAAGGTGCTATAGACTGAATAATTATGACATCACGTTGACAACAACGATCACTGCCAGGTAAATAGATATGTGAATCGGCAAACTTTAAGCCGTCACGGTAACATTTAAAGATGTACAATAAAACACTGGTCTGACATGTCTGACGTTTCTGCTGTTCTTATTTTATGTTCTGTGTTGCTTTGCTCTCATCTTTAATAAACCAAATTTATGAGCACAGAAGCAAAGCAATGTACTGCTGCAAGACATATTTTAGCCACCTAAAAAAAATCAATATCACTTTAAGTATTTGAAATATTTTTTACTGCTTTACATACAGCATTAACTAATCGAGGCAGTGGTAGACCTGCAACTTCCATGGTCTGCCAAGTAAAATTGCTGTTTTTGTAAATGCAGCTTTAAAAGAAGCGAAAAAGGCTGTCTTACGCCAAGGTGAAGCAGTGAAAATGTACTGCACATAGTGTACACTTAAACTGATACTGAATTTTTTTTTAGGTGGCTAAAAACTAAACAATTAAGGCAGCGTTTGCTCAGCGCTGTTTCATTTTACGTACGTGGCACAGAGTTTTTGCACCTGCAAGTTATTGTAAACAAACAAACATCTATATAAATAAAGTTGGATTAATCTATTGATTGATTAATGTTTCAATAACATGAGAATATCTATATTAACTTCACTGACTGGTTCAAATGGGTCAGGGTTTGACCTGCTGGCTGGGGTCGTTGCAAAACAAAGGAAAGATAAAAAAAGGAGAGAAAATACTGAACTGGTTTTGAATCAGCTGTTTCTCACACAACATAAGATTTCAGTTAGAAATCCTCTGAGAACAGATGTGGAGCCCGTTAGCCATCATCATCATCACTGAGCTACTATTTTGACCGTTTATTATTTTACCGTTAATCAAATGTCACATCCTCAAAATACACCCACACTTTCATCACATCACATTATGTCAGCCCTGACTACACAGAGGTGGGACATGCCTGGAACAGTCAGTGTCTCAACAGGTAATGAAAAACAGATTTTCTGTGTGTGTGTATATGTTTGTATGTGTGTGTTCGTCAGCATTCCCTGACAACCACATTCCAGTTTAATTACTCTTACAGCAGACAGGAGATCCAACCCTGAAACATCTGCAAGTCAGCTCAGAAGTATGCAGCAGGACTCATTCTTCTCATGACTAATTTCAACTCTCGCAAGCACATGCACGCTTCCCTCTGTCTTTACCTATCGTCACACGCCATGTTGATTTATGTCTGTTCCTAATCTGAAATATTTGGAAAAATCTAGAACACCTGGACGACCAGAGATCTCTGCCTCTCACTCGTTTCTCTCGGCATTCACACAGACCACAGATTTTGGACAGTGATCTATCAATATCAATATCAATATCAATATCAATATCAATATCAGTGCATTATGTATTGGAGTCACGGTAAGTACTTTCAGTGGAGAATATATTGCCCCACAAACAACATTTTAGGACACGTTATGCCCCTGGTATGATGATATAAGAAGATAATACTGTGAGTACACCCTTTCCAAGAGCAGTCAAATCTTAATTCTTAGGAGTATTCAGACACTAGAGCTGGAATGTGAAAAAACCCTTAAATAATAACTAGACTCTCAGGCTCTGTGGGGGTATACAGTCATTCCTTAACCGGCAGCACATGACCAAACCCTGCAGCTTTTCTCTGGCATCATGTCCCAAAAATGTTGGTAACATTCTTATGTACCAACCAGTGGCATACAGACGTTAGGCTGGGCCCCAGTACACAGTATTATGACGGGCCCTTGTGCCAGATTTTGCGTCGAAACGGCTACCGTATATTTTATAGTATCGTCTCATGATCAAATACAAACTTGACGTTGGACATCTACATACATATTACCAATCACCACTGCAAATCTGTAAAAATACCAAATAGAATAAGAAATAATTCTAGTTTATTTATAGTTTATGTAAATATACATTATAAATTTCTACTGACTATTTCACAAAAGAAAAAAGAAACTGACAGAGATGGGTTTGTCTTCTCGAGGGCATATATAGCAGATGGCAGCGTTTATATTTTAACGCGTATGTGTAACTGTGCAACTGCACTGCCTGCACCATCTATATTTATGGCCATGGTACCAACTCAGTTCAGTTCAACTGTATTTATAAAGTCCAATATCACGTGTCACAATTTGCCTCAGAGGGTTTTACAGCACACGACATCCCTCTGTCCTTTCGACCCTCACAGCTGATAACGGAAAAACTCCCCCCAAATAAGCTTTAATGGGTAAAAAACGGTAGAAGAGCAACTGAGGAGCTGTCCGTCCTTCCTCCAGGATGGACAGACATGAAATAGATGTTGTGCCCAAAACAGATCAACGTCATGAAATTACAGTAATGGTGCAACATTTCGAATGAGAATACATTATGACCTGGGTCTTCAACAGGGGGTTCATGACCCCTAGGGGGTCCTCAGATTTACTATAGGGAGGCCACCAAATGACCTCTAAATAGTCTACTTAACTAATGAAAGTTTAGTACGTAAAATGTGTCTGAAAATCCACATTAAAGCCAATCTAACATATTATTAGCCAAGGTAAATCAGCCTATTCATAAAACCTATTAGTTAACAGTACACAACATTTTTGATAGGCGGACTGTTACCCAGGAATCTTCATGCAATCATGTGAGCTAGCTAACGCTACATCACTGTGCGGCACCTGTAATTATTTTTGCTTATTAGCCAGTTAGCTGTAATCCTATGTCAAGTGTACAGACATTCTTGTGTGCCACAATGGATTGTTTCATAACTTTTTAACAGACTCTGACACACCGTCCACCGTAGAAACCACCACTGAAAGTGCAGAGGGTGAGGCTAACGCACCTAGCAATGCTACAACTACAGAACTATCTCAAGTGCAACTCTTTTTAAAAAAATATATGTAGTAGGGGTCCCTGCTGTCTGTCTTTGGGCCAAGGGGTCCTTAGCCTGAAAAACGCTGAAGACCCCTGCACTATGAGATCCCTGAAATGTAATTTGATATCAGCCTGTTACAAAGTCACGTTCAACACAGCGCGCACTGTCATCCATGATTAGTTACGAGCTTAAGTGTGATGGTGAGATAGAAAGTGGAGGTTAATCAGATGGTTCAAAAACACCGCAATGGTGCCTCCAAATGGAAACTATTAAGAGGAGAAGTGCAGATCAGGAGGAGACTATCTAGAGCAGCCCTACTGAAACTGAAGTGGACATTAAACATAAATGCTAGTAGCTACTTAAGCAGCGACCTGTGCAGTGTATGACTGTTGTGTAGGAGAGTTTAAGTGCCAGCTCTGGTGCTAAGCCTTTGTACAGTGTGGTCGACAGTCAACACTATATGATCCTCTGATTAAAAATAACCTGCCTGTAGTGGGAACACTCCACAGCTGAATATAGTAGGCCTGCCTTGCTGTCTTTTAATGGTGGTGCTAGAGATGGAGAACCACTGATCTACCAGGAACAGCTGGAAGTCATCACCTGAGAGGTGAACTTATCAAAAGCCACCCTGTACACACAGCACTGACTGTGCCTGTGATAATAATGTTCTACCTTATCTAACTGTGTGCTAACAACTGGCTGCAGTCGGGACAGTTGCTGTCTCCCTCTGAATGGAGCTCTATAGTGTGAGTGTACGCGCCTGTCACCATGGTGATGGAGACACAAAACCAACGACAGCTGAGGGCAGCTCGAACACAAGCCTGCTCTCTATCATAGACCAGACAACACTATCTGTGTGTGTGTGTGTGTGTGTGTGTGTGTGTGTGACAGCAGGTGCTTGGCAGGTGGTGGTGTATTATAATGACATCACTTCAGAAGAGACCCTTCTTCTTCTCTCCAGTGTGATGATGTCTACCTGGAGGTCGTGTTTGGGGTTGTAAGGGGGGAAGTGAGGGCTTTATTGCTGCTTGCTCCAATGAATAAAAACAAGAGAGTGAATGCAGGAAGTCAGTGAAACAAGGAAAACCGATTGCGATCAAGGTAATGCAACCAACTTGTTTAGAAGAGTGACACACAGCTGCAGAGATTTTATAAATACACTGTTGGCTGCAGGCACAAGGATTTTACTTTATAATGTACAGTCTTTTACAAAGCTTTCCTCCTGTTGACAGGGTGATAAACTAAAACATTTACCGAATGTGACTTCTGCATATAGCCACGAGCTCTGGGTTTAATGTCCCCCAGGAATGGGTAGTTT